CCACAACATTTTTTCTAGGTCAGTTGTCAAAATTTTCTTGGTCACAATTTATAATTTTGAAAATTTTTGAATCGGAAATTGCAACTGGAATTTTTGGCAACTTTTCGAAAACTTTTCAATAGAGAAAATTTTGTCCAATTTTTGCCAATTTTCGAAATTCAATTAAAGACATTTTCTTATGGACTTCGACGTCCAGAAGTTGGTTTTTTCACGTATTAAAAAAAATCAAATCGAATCTTTTCGATCCTTATGGATTTTGACTTCCAGAAGTTAGTTTCGATGTCATTTCTTGGATTTCTCCTGAATCGTCCACTCAGTTTTATTAGTTTTTGGATTAAAAAAAAAAAAAAATTAAACCGAATATTATGAAATCTTGCTTTTGGTAATTATTTGGCAACTTTTCCAAAATCAATATTTTTTAATATCGCCCTCCTATGAAAATTTCACTAAGAAGTTCTGGCCAAAGCGCTACAAAATTCGTAATTTCTAAATAATTCATTATAAGAAAGAATCATTTCTGATAGACAATATTTAATTTTAATTATTTCAAAATTTTCTTTTGTGCAATTTATATTTCGAAAATTTTTGAAAAAACTCATTAGGAAAATTTGTTTCATACTTATAAAAGAAAAACTGAAAAATCGGTGTTTTTCATTTCGCACTCCTTAATAAATATGTAGCAAAAATGTCATTAAAATCATAATTCGGAGACGATTCTTTGTTTCACAATATTCTTTCCGGTTCAGTTGGACAATTTCAAACTTTTTTTAGTCACAATCTATAATTTAGAAAATTTTGGAATTGGAAATTCGAATTAAGTTTTTTTGGAAACTTTCAAAATTTGTTAGTACCCTGCCTATGAAAATTTCAGTCAATTTTCGACAAATTTCGAAATTTAACCAAAGACATTTTCTTATGGATTTCGACCGATAGAAGTTAGTTCCGGTCTAATTTCTTCGATAGCTCTTACCATTTTCCCAGAATCGCCCCTCAAAATATTGTCATTTTTGGTTTAAAATCAAACATTTTCAAACCGAGTATTTTAAAAGCTTGCTCCGGAAACATAAACACGCTATTATAATTTTGGAATCAGAACGATGAAATCTATGCCCCAGAAATTTTTTAGAATTTTTTGGCAACTTTTCAAAAACCAAAATTTTTCAATATCTTTCGCATATGAAAATTTGATTGAAAATTTGTGGTCAAGGCGCTACAAAATTCGTAATTTATAGATAATTTATCATACGAACGAATGATTTTTTGATAGATAATATTTAGTTTTAAAAATTCCAAAATTTTCTTTTGTGCAATTTTATTCCGAAAATTTTTGAAAAAACTTTCCATTTGATTCAAAATTTGAGGTAAAGATAAATTTGATGTTAAAAAGATTTAAACATTTTTTTGGACAATTCGTTTTTGTTCTGTGCTGTTTTTAAAAATCTGACTATCTCAAAATGTGTCATTTGTCAATTTCTTGATTTTCAAAATTTCAGTTTTTGAAACTTCAATAAAAATTTGGAAAATTTCTAGTTTTCATTTTTCACATTTATTTGGATGTCTATAACAAAGGAGTCATTAAATTCATAGGCTCTGTTTAACACGATTTTCCACTCTGATATTTTTGCAGAAAATTTTGATAATTTCAAAAATTTTTAAAAACTTTATTTTTCATGTTTTTTGCTTAAAGTCTTTTTTTCCAGGTTTATTTTTCCACAACAGCATTTTTTATCCAGTTAATTGTTTATTAACATTTTTTTCATAATTATGCAAAAATATGAAAAACCGGTGCTTTTCATTTCCCATTCTTTAATAAATATGCAGCAAAAATGTCATTAAAATCAAAATTCGGAGTCAATTCTTTGTTTTACAACATTCTTTCCGGTTCAGTTGGACAATTTCAAAATTTTTTTAGTCACAATCTATAATTTAGAAAATTTTTGAACTGGAAATTCCAAGTATTTTTATTTGGAAACTTTTCAAAAAATTTTCAAAAAATTTTTAGTACACTGCCTATGAAAATTTTAGTCAATTTTTGACAAATTTCAAAATTTAATTAAAGACATTTTCTTATGGATTTCGAACGACAGAAGTTAGTTTCGGCCTTATTTCTTCGATAGCTCTTACCATTTTCCCAGAATTGTGACTCGAAGTATTGTCATTTTTGGTTTAAAATAAAAAAAATTTAAACCAAATATTTTTAAACTTTGCTCTGGAAGCATAAATGTTTTTGGAATCAGAACGATGGAATCCATGTCCCAGAAATTTTTGAAAATTTTTTGGCAACTTTTCCAAAACCAAAATTTTTCGATATCGTTCGCCTATGAAAATTGGATTGAAAATTTATGGTCAAAAAATTCGTAATTTACAGATAATTCATTATTCGAAAGAATGATTTTTGATGGATAATATTTAATTTTAAAAATTTCAAAATTTTCTTTGTGCAATTTCAATTTTGAAAATTTTTGAAAAAACTTTCAGTGTTTGTCATTTGAATCAAAATTTGAGGCAAAAGCGTCGTAAAATTCGTGATTTGTAAGTAACTCTTTAAGAAAATAGATTTTTTGTTAATAAGATATATTTGATTTTAAAAAGATTTAAAATTTTTTTGGACAATTTGTTTTTTGTTATCTGTTGTTTTTAAATATCTGTCTATTTCAAAATGACTTTCGATTAATCAAAGGAAATTTGTCTGTTCAAGGGAATTTGCTTCTCAATTGTCAATTTCTAGATCTAGATTTTCAAAAATTTCAGTTTTTGAAACTTCAATAAAATTTTTTTGAAAATTTATAGTTTTCATTTTCACATTTATTGGGATGTCTACACCAAAGGCGCCATTGAATTCATAGCCTACAATTTTTCCATTTAACAAGATTTTCCATCCTGATATTTTTGTAGATAATTTTGATGATTTCAAAAATTTTTTGGAAACTTTGCTTTTCCCGTTGCTTGTTCAAAGTCGTCTTTTCTATGATTATTTTTAATACAGTTAATTGTTTGTTAACATTTTTTTCATAATTTTAAAAATTAATTGAAAAATCGATGCTTGTCAATGTCATTAGAATTCGGAGTCAATTCATTGTTTCACAACATTTTTTCCGGTTCAATAGGATAATTTCAAAAATTTTTGTCACAATTTATACATTGTTTAGAAAATTTTGAAGATTTATTGGAAATTTTTTCAAAATTTTTTAACCCTTCCTATGAAAAATTCGAAATTTAACTAAAAACAATTTGTTATGAATTGCAACCAACAGAAGTTAGTTTCGGCCTCATTTCTTCGATAGCTATTACCATTTTCCCAGAATTTCGATGGGTGAAATATTGCTTTTAGTGGTTTAAAATAAAAAAAATTCAAACCGAATATTTTTAAACCTTGCTCTGGAAGCATCAACACGATGTGTTTTTGAAATCAGGACGATGAAGTTTATATCTCAGAAATTTTTGAGAATTTTTTGGCAACTTTTTCAAAACCAAAATTTTTAAATATCGTCCAATGAAAATTTGACTGAAAACTTTTGGTCAAGGCGTTACAAAATTAGTAATTTATAGACAATTAAATAATAATAAGAAAGGATAATTTCATGATAGAGAATATTTTTAGTTTCAAAAATTTCAGAATTTTGTGGAAAATGTCTTTGTTGTCTGCTTTTTTGAATAAACGTATAGTTCAGAATAGCTTCTTCTTGAAAAAGGAACATTTCTCTGTCCAACGCCTGTCATTATTAGATTTTACATTTTCAAAACTTCAGTCAAAATTTTAAAAAAATTTGGGAAACTTAAAATTTCTGGTTTCACATATTTAAATTTCTGTAACAAAGACGCCATTAAATTCGTTAATCACATTAGATTTTCTGTTTGCTTTTCCGATATTTATTTAAATTACGTTCGATTAATTTAGATTAGCTGGCGATTATTATCACTTCAACAGATTCAAAAACTTAAATTTTGAAAATTTCAAAAATTTTTCGTTTGAGTAGTTTTTATTTTTCATATTTAGTTGAATGCAGAGATGTCATTAAACTTGTAATCTGAAGTAAATATTGTGTCCGAGAAAATATTTTCCACTATAATAATTTTTTCTAGGGTCAAAATTTCTAGGAAAATTAATTTTTTCAAGTTATTTATTGATTTGAATGACCTATACAGCGTAAGTACGACTTGCGATACGTTGTATAGAAAAAATTTTTGTCAACAGAACTTTTTCGGGTTGATTACCGTCGGTATTTAGAATTTCAAAAATTTACAGAATAAAATGGTATTTTATAATGTATTTCTTATTATTGTTCAAGTTGGGTTGAAAATCTTTGGAAAAGGCGTCATTACGTTTAAAATTCGCGGAAAATTCTTTATATGATCTCTCTTCTACTTGATTATAAAAATGTTTTCAATTTTGATTTTTTTTGTTTTTTTTTTTTGGGAAATTCGTTACTTAAAAATCTACCGCCAAAGCATTTAGAAATCAATTTTTCGCTTGTTGTTTTTGTCTTTTGATAAAAAGTAACTTAACTTCCGGTTTGTTATTTGTAGAAAATTTTCGAAATGGCACAGTTGAAACATTTTTTGAACAATTTTTCACTTTCACTCAAAATAGAACTTCATTCCTAGTTGGCGCCACTGACTTAAAATAATTTCAAAATTTCCAAAAACTGCCAAAATGAAATACATATGTATATCATAAAAAGTGACAGTTATGGTAAAAAATGTTAAAAATGGATTTTTTGTCGTCATTTTTAAAATACCAATATACATATATAAAAAATAATAAATACAGAAAGATTAATAAAAACGAATTTTTTAACAAATTTAATACCGAAAATAAAACCAAGCATTAAATTAACCCGAACCTACACACTGACCACACTCAAACAGCTTCCCGTAAACAGAACCCGAATTAAAATAATCCACAATAAAAATAATCGCTGGCACCACAAAACCGCCCAACCTCCAATCCAACCATTTATTTTAAGCGCATTGCCTCACCTCCTCTCTTCTCTAACCTTGACAATTATTCAACACCACAACACCAATCCCCCCTTGTTCTGCTTTCCGTTTCTTCAGTCACCGTCTACCAACCGCACAACCTTCACCGAATGCACAGTTACGAGCCGGCTCCTTGCGGTCATGTGTGAACGTACCTTAATTCTGCGTGTCTGTGTGTTGTTCGATTAATTCGCTCTAATTGAGATCAAGTGTTGTGCTTGTGGTTTGTCAGTGATGATAAGGAGCACGTGTTCAGTGACCAGCTGATGCCTCGTTGGGATTACGGGAAGTTCGATTGACGGTCGTACTGGAAGGGGAACGGTACTGCAGGTGAGTCAGCGTGGTTTGGGGATTTTTTGTTGATTCGCGGCATTCCGCCGAGGAATTTAACCTTAGGATAAGGCAGGTAACAGGTAGTACCATTATGGTACCCCCACTATTTGACCTTTCGAAGTATGCACGGGTGTGCTCGGATGTAGGTGGTTCTTGTGGTTTGTTGTTGGAAGGACGGGCTGGGGATTGTTGTATCGACTTTAATGGAATGTAATAAAATCTGACAGCCTAAACTACATAAAGTACCACCAACACTGGATCAGTAGCAAAAATAGTGTAACTTCACTAGTACGCACACACCCGCTTCCAGAATCAGTTTCTTCGTTTAAAGATATAATTATGAACAAATTATTTCTTTGAGTTGCGTTCAAGATTCCCTCCACGTGTACCTGAAACCGGTTTTGCATTTTGGGACACCTTGTTCTAAAAATATACCTGGAGTTGAAAACGCCCCCACACCGACTTGCTATAATCCAGTTTTTGCGGGTTTAAAGTGATATTAAAACTCGTATCTCCAGATCCACTTAAAGACGATAACTCAAAACCGGGTTGGACATTGGCAGGAACAATCAAAGTAAGCTTGTAGGCGGCATTTACACCCTGTTAATCTAGCTATTATATTTAATACTATGTGTTCTTAGTTTACCTCATCTGGGTCTGAAACGCTAAAATCTGTAACCAGCACACTGGAACCATTTTGGGATATGGAAAAGTCCAGAGTGTCTTCATGGTCGTACTTGATTTTTGGAATATTGTCATCGATGTCATAAATCATTACAGGAACTTGTCTTCTAGTTTCTCCGTACATCGAACCTCGGTATGACGCTATTACGTCCATATAGAAATTGTCTTGTGTTTCTCTGTCGATTGGTGGAAGAGTGACGTTTAGGGTGTTTCTGTTTATCCGGTTTATGGTTGGAGAGACGGTACTTACAATGACGACAGCCACATCGTCGTCTTTGGGATATCCACTGCCCAGTTCGGTCGCAATTTTGAAACTCTGGAACGAAAAGTCAGTCTATGGTGGTGTTAAAAATAAAGTACTACAATTGCTTGTTCTTCGTATGTATCTACGAAGGCTGGAATGCTGGTAAATTTGGGCGCTTTGTATACCTTGACGGTTACTGGTACTTTGAGGACAGCACCCTGAAATTTTTTGTTTAGTACTAGTGGAGAGTGACGATGATCAAATTACTTTGACTTCTACATCGAACTTGTATGAATTCGTGGTATCGTAGTCTAGAACATGGCCCTCTTTCAGTACCAAGTATATAATTTTAGCTAAATCGGTTTCAGACGGTGGTTCTTTATATTGAAATTCGAAGATGTCAGATTCGTTCTAAAACTGACTGCTAGTGGTCACTCTATCTTATAGTACGTACTTACAGAATTTCCTTTTATTGTAAAATTGATAGAACCTAAGTGTCCTTGATTATTGCTTACGGAGAAAATACAAATCGAATTGTTTACATTAATGGCTACTCCTTCCTGAAAAATTGATAATGAGAAGGATCATCTATGGATCTATCTAAATGGTAAAGTACTATCATATAACAATCTGGTCCTTCGAATATCGTGCCTTCACCAGCTCTAGCATTTAGTACGGACACTTCCATCGAAAGTTCCACATGAAGAACTAAAGCTGAAATATCATTCCTTGGTTTGGTACTAACACTTCTATAAAACACTTACCGCACAAGATTTTCACAAGATGCACACTTTTCATGGTTACTTCAAAAAGTACTGACACGGATTGTGCAAAAATTGGTAATCACGGTACTCACTCGACTGCGCTTTCAGAATTTGATGACCATATTTATTATCAATACAAATATTTCAGCTTAACGTTATCTGCATTGCATTTCCGTTCAAAAACCGTAATACCCTTCGAAAGAATTGATAAAAACGAGTGCTTTTTTTGTTATGAGGCCGACACGAAAAAAAACTTAAGAAGTCATAACGACACCATTTTAACTCCTATTGTAACAGAGAGATAAGATAAATCTGGTATTATAAGTGCATTCGCACATCCTGATAGTGGAGATAACACCTGATTAAGAACTTAATAAAATTGCTAATTATATATTCTTTATTTTTGTACTGAGTTACTACACAAAACAAATAAATGTTAAATTTATCCAAACTAATTTAACACTTTTTGTGAAAAACAAAGGAACTTTCATTAAAATAAAACAATTTTTAAGGTAGTCAGAGAAATAGAAAAAAAAACACACTGTCGCATTTATAAACCGGTTTTAGCAAAGCCGAACAGTCGGCCGACTAGTCGGTTTTTACTGGCCGAACAATCGGCTAGTCGGTTAGTCGGCCAGACCTACAGTCGGTACATCTCTAGTATAGATAATTTATTTGTCACCATCCAAAAATCCAAATCTCGATAAATCCAGAAATTGAAAAATTCGAGAAACGAAAAATTAAAAAAATTTAAAATTTAAAAATCGAAAAAGTGAACAATCAAAAAATTGAAGAATCGAAAAATTGAAAAATTGAGAAATTAAAAAATCCAAAAACTGAATTTTGAAAAATTATCAAATCGAAAAATTGAAAGATTGATAAATCGAAAAGCCCAAAAAAGACGAAAAATCGAAAAATTGAAACATCGAAATAGCATAAAATCGAAAAATTAAAAATTGAAAAATCGGAAAATTTAAAATTAAAAAAATATAAATCAAAAAAAAAAATGAAAAATCGAAAAATTGGCACATTGAATAGCCGAAAAATCGAAACATCAAAAACTATATTTTAAAAATTCGAAAAATTGAAAAATCGAAGAACTGAAAACGAAAAATCGGGAAATTGAAAAATTTAAGAGTCGAAATGTTGAAAAATCCCAAAACTCAAATATCGAAAAATTGATTAACCGAAAAATTGAAAAATGGAAGACAAATTTAGCAATCTAAAAACTGAAAAATCGAGAAATCGAAAAATTGAAGAATCGAAAACTGAAAAATTGAGAAATTAAAAAATCCCAAAACTGAATTGTGAAAAATTGGAAAATCGAAAAATTAAAAACTCGAAACATCGAAAAATTGGAAGATCGAAAAATCGCAAAGCCGAAAAGATGAAAACTCGAAAAACCGAAGAATCGGAATATTTAAACATCTAAAAATTGAAACATCAAAATATCGAAAAATTGAAAAACCAAAAAATTAAAATTAGAAAAATTGGAAAATTTAAGGTTAAAAAAAAATCGATAAATTGAAAAAAAACTGAAAAATTGAAAAAAAAAACTGAAAAATTGGCACATTGAATAACAACAACACAAATTTATCGATTTGTGTTGTTGTTATTCAATGTGCCAATTTTTCAATCGATCAAAATCTCGATAAACTGAAAAATTGAAAAATCAAAAATTTTAAAAATTGAAAAACCGAAATATCTAAAATCAAGAAGTCGTGAAAGCGAAAAATCGAGGAATCGAAACATCCAAAAATTGAAAACTCAAAATTTTAAAAGTTCGAAAAATTGAAAAATAGAAAAATCGAACAGAAAATCGAAAAATCGGGAAATTGAAAAATTGAAGAGTCGAAATGTTGAAAAATCCCAGAACTCAAATATCGGAAATTGATAAATTGAAAAATCGAAGAAAAATTTAGCAATCTAAAAACTGAAAAATCTAGAATTCGAAAAATCGAAAAATTTTAAAAATCAAACATTGAAAAATTAAAAATATAAAAATTCTATAAACTCGAAAAACTGAAAAATCGACAAATTGAAAAATCCCGAAATTGCAATCTCGAAAAATTGTGAGGTCGAAACACCGAAAAGTCGAGATATGGGAAAATAAAAAAATCGAAATATCTAAGCGTCGAAAAGTCAAAAAAATCGTGAAATCGGAAATTTACAGACGTCAAAAAATTGAAAAATCGAAAAATTGGAGAATCGAAAACAAATCGAGAAGTCGAAAATTGAAAAATTTAAGAGTGAAAATGTTGAAAAATTTCAAAACTCAAATATCGAAAAATTGAAAAATCGAAAAACTGGAGAATAGGAAAATCGAAGAACTGAAAATGGAAAAATATAGAAATCGAAAAATTGAAAAAGTCAGAAATTGAAAAATTCACAAAATTGATATGCTAAAAACTTGAAAAGTCGAAAATTTGAAAAATCGTATCTCAAAAAATGTTAAAAATAAAAAAAATAATTTTTTTGTTAAATAAGTATTAAAAATTAAAAAATAGGGAAATCGAAACATTAAAAAAAGTAAAAAATTGAAAAATTCAAAAAAAAGAGAAAAACGAAGAATCGAAAAAGTGAAGAATCGAGAAATTGGAAAATTCCAAAACTGAAATCTCGAAAAATTAGGATATCAAAAATTGAAAAGTCGAAATATCGAAAATTTTGAATGGATGGAAAAATTAAAAAGTCGAAAAATTGAAAAACAGAAAAATCGATGAACTGAAAATCGAAACAAGCGAGAAATATAAAAATAGAGTTGAAAATATTGAAAAATCCCAAAACTCATATATCGAAAAATTGATAAATCGAAAAACTGAAATATCGAAGAAAACTTTAGCAATCCAAAAATTGAAAGATTTTCAGAATCGAAAAATTGAAAAATCAAAAACGTGAAAAATCGGAAAATTGAAAAAATTAAAAATCGAGAAATTGAAAAATCCCGAAATTGAAATCTCTAAACATTGATTGAAATATGAGAAAATAAAAAAATCGGAAAACCTAAAAGTCGAAAAGTCAAAACTTGAGAAATAGGAAATTTAACGACATCACACATTGAAAAATTGTCAAATTGAAGAATTGAATATAAAAAAAAGTCGAGTAATTGATAATCAAATAAATGAAAAATCCCAAAACTGAAAAACTGAGAAATTTGAAGTTGAAAATTCCAGAAGTCGAAAAATCGTTGCACAATTTTGATTTTTTTGCCAAAACTCGATATCTAGGATAGAAATTCAATACAGATTCATAAACCTATGTTAATTTTTGACATTTAAATAACATTTATTATTCTTAGCTTAAACACGAAAAGTAAAAATTGAGGCTCAATAACATCAAATCAAAAACCATTCGGATTAGTACATTTTATTAATAAAAAAAACTAAAATTGAATGTGTTATTGATTTTATTGTAATAAAATTTGACACCCAAAACTACATAAAGTACCACCAACACTGGATCAGTAGCAAAAATAGTGTAACTTCAGTAGTACGCATACACCCGCTTCCAGAATCATCTGCTTCGTTTAAAGATATAACTATGAACAAATTATTTGTTTGAGTCGCGTTCAAGATTCCCTCCACGTGTACCTGAAACCGGTTTTGCATTTTGGGACACCTTGTTCTAAAAATATACCTGTAGTTGAAAACGCCCCCACACCGACTTGCTATAATCCAGTTTTTGCGGGTTTAAAGTGATATTAAAACTCGTGTCTCCAGATCCATCTAAAGACGATAACTCAAAACCGGGTTGGACATTAGCAGGAACAATCAAAGTAAGCGTGTAGGCGGCATTTCGATCCTGTTAATCTAGCTATTATATTTAATACCAAGCAATCTTAGTTTACCTCATCTGGGTCTGAAACGCTAAAATCGGTAACAAGCACACTGGATCCATTTTGGGATATGGTAAAGTCCAGAGTGTCTTCATGGTCGTACTTGATTTCTGGGATATTGTCATCAACGTCATAAATCATTACAGGTACTTGTCTTCTAGTTTCTCCGTACATCGAACCTCGGTATGACGCTATTACGTCCATATAGAAATTGTCTTGTACTTCTCTGTCGATTGGTGGAAGAGTAACTCTTAAGGTGTTATTGTTTATGTGGTTTATGGTTGGAGAGACGATACTTTCAATGACGACATCCACATCGTCGTTGGGATATCCACTGCCCACTTCGGTCGCAATTTTGAAACTCTGGAACGAAAAGTCAGTCTATGGTGGTGTTAAAAATAAAGTACTACAATTGCTTTTTCTTCGTCTGTATCTACGAAGGCTGGAATGCTGGTAAATTCAGGCGCTTTGTATACCTTGACGGTGATTGGTACTTTGTCGACAGAACCCTGAAATTTTTTGTTTAGTACTAGTGAAGAGTGACGATGATCAAATTACTTCGACTTCTACATCGAACTTGTATGAATTCGTAGTGTCGTAGTCTAGAACTTGGTCCTCTTTCAGTACCAAGTATATAATTTTAATTACATCGGTTTCAGAAGGTGGTTCTTTATATTGAAATTCGAAGATGTCAGCTTCGTTCTAAAACTGACTGCTAGTGGTCACTCTCTCTTATAGTACATACTTACAGAATTTCCTTCTATTGTAAAAGTGATAGTATCTAAGTGTCCTTCATTATTGCTTACGGAAAAAATACAAAGGGAATTGTTTACATCAACGGGTACTGCTTCCTGAAAAATTGATAATGAGAAGGATCATCTATGGATCTATCTAAATGGTAAAGTACTATCATATAACAATCTGATCCTTCGAATATCGTGCCTTCACCAGCTCTAGCATTTAGTACGGACACTTCCATCGAAAGTTCCACATGAAGAACTAAAGCTGAAATATCATTCCTTGGTTTGGTACTAACACTTCTATAAAACACTTACCGCACAAGATTTTCACAAGACGCACACTTTTCATGGTTACTTCAAAAAGTACTGACACGGATTGTGCAAAAATTGATAATCACGGTACTCACTCGACTGTGCTTTCGGAATTTGATGACCATAATTATTATCAATACAAGTATTTCAACTTAACGTTATCTGCATTTCCGTTCAAAAACCGAAAGAATTGATATAGACGAGTGTTTTTTTGTTATGAGGCCGACACGAAAAAAAACTTAAGAAGTCATAACGACACCATTTTAACTCCTATTGTAACAGAGAGATAAGATAAATCAGATGCATTCGTACATCCTGATAGTGGAGATAACACCTGATTAGGAACGAGATTCACTTAATAAAATTGCTAATTATATATATTTAATTAGGGATGTACCGACTACTGGCCGACCGGTCGGATTAGCC